TAAAGCCACAAGATGAAAATTATGTTACCAGTGGTGTTTTGAGAGTTAGAAACAATGTAGTAATGGGTTACTGTACCTACAGTAGCTTATCAAAACTTTCAAGGGGGCGCACATCTAAAGGCTTGCCTAGGGCGCCAAATCATCTTGCACCGGCCCTGTTTACACCACTTATTAAACTTAATGACACTTTATCTCACCTACTGGCACTTAAAAGCACTTTATAAAACTTTTGGATATTGCACGTATCTTTATGACATAATGTGACATTTTATGGTACTCTTAACACTTTATCCCACTTTATGATACTTTATAGCAAACTTATGACACGTATGATAGTATGGGTGTTTTTGCCGTCCACAATACCTTGTGGCACTTATTAGTCTTCATGACACAAATACTTCACATCATTTATAAAACTTCATAATTAAAACATTTTACAACACTTATAAACACTTTATGTTACTTATAAGCATGTTGTGATACATATGATCACTTCAAAATACTTATGAAAACTTTATGGCACTTTTTTGAAACTTGAGACCACTTTGAGACACTTACAGTATAGTCCAGAGGATAAGGACAAATCGTGCACTTTTTTTACTAAAGCATTATACTTTGTACACTGATACTAGGACCCGTGTGGGTCATTGTAAAGATTGGAGGAAATCTGTATAAGCCTGCTGGTGGTCGTGGTGACCATTTTCAAAATGGCCACAGCATCACATTAAAATGTGCCATATCTCAACTTCTATTGCAGTTTTAGACCTTGGATTTTTGTGGCTTTATCCATGTTTTCAGACCCAAGGACACATATCACATAGTATCAAAAATCATATTGATATAGTATGATCATAGTTTTAAAATGTGTAAGAGTAAAATAAATAGCAATTAATAGCCATATAACCATAATCGTATGATATACTGTACATCATGCATCACAACAGAAAAAGACTGATTGTTAAAAAATATCAAATAAAAGGAATAAGAAGGTTCTGGAAATTCCATTAATTTACTCATTTCATGCATAACAACCTCACTTACAGAATTGAGTACAACTTTCGATAGATGATAGGATAGCTGCTATGCTATTTGGTGATGCAGTTTGGGCCAGGACACAGTTCATTGTAAGCTTGCCAAGCAATCCAGACTGTACCCATACCCTTTCCTGCAAATGATAGAGGTGTCATCACAGCCAGTTAGTACATGGAAAGCAGGCAGAGCATAACATCTTCCCTCGCCAAATACCTCAGCCATCCGTTTAACATCAAGATAGGCGGAGGACCGTCCCATGCCAAATCCTACCCAAAGACATTCACAGACTGTTTGTAGCGAAGCCTATTCAGAGCGCCACAACACCCTTGTCAACAGTCTTGATGGATATTTGGTTAATATTAACGACTGACTCGCCAAGGTGTTTGGATTTGATGGTTATTTTCTTACTATATTTTCATCAGTGAGTTTTGATATGATTATGATGATCATTTCTTGTGCAAATACTTCGTTTGGTAGATACTTAGGTGCCTAGGCGTGCATTTCTTTGTCTTCTCGCCAGTAATGTGGTGGTGACGGTGGTGACGTTGTAATAGCTCTTTTGGTATTACATTAATTGTTTTAAATTAGTGCTGGAATTCTTAAGTGGCTGGGCTGAAGTAAACCGAAAAGTTCGTTAACCGAAACCATTGTTTCAATGGGTTTTTGGGTAATTGGTTTCAGCTCACCGAAAATTTCCTAAATTCAACAAAAATGGTAGAAAAGTTCACTTACTTTGAGGTGTGTGTGTAGAAGGCTCCTGGATGATGATGATGATGATGGGATTTAGAATGGGGGGTGGAGGAGAAGGAAGAAGAGAAGGCATTGGGGTGGAAGAGAAGTCACCCCATGGCGCCATTTCACCCATAAAATTTTAGCTTTCTTGGTGTAATTCAAGATTATTTTCTTTAAATCAACACTGCACTGCATTATATATTGTCAATATGTAAAATATATTTCAAAATGACCAATAATTTGCTTGGAAACACAGAAAAAAAGCATTTAGTTGAAGAGAGTCTCAAGCAAGATGTTACTTCCAGTGAAAACAGAGAGAGACTAACTTCTGTTTGCTGTGTTAAGAGGCTGGATGCCGCGCATTAAACTAGTCACTTTACCTTCAATTATGTTCAATAATTGTTAAAATGACTTAAGAAATTGAATATTAAACTTTTAAAATTATTGAATAGTATAAACTTCTTGATATTTACTAAAATAGCAAGGAATTTAAGCCCTAGAACCGATTAATGTATTGGCGGACTGATACTAAAGCTGGTTGCCCGGTCAGTGCAAGCGAAAACATGTTGAGGTCGGTTCGTAAGAACTTCGTTAACCGAATTTTTTTTCGTTAACCGAATTGAAGATCCTTATGGAAGGCAGTTCGTGAATCGAAATTACGTTAACCGAGGTGTTCGTTAAACGAGGGGTCACTGTACTTAGTTCGGTTGAGAGTAGGCCTATATTATGCCTTCTCTACTAGGGGAAGTGTCTTGAGTGCACTTATATATGAGAACACTGTTCACTGAGTAGCTAGTGATAAGAGTCTGATATATGTGACAGTGAGAAGAGGAGCCGGCCGGCAGGCTGTTGTGCTTAGTGGCCTGACCTCGCCTGACTCCTGATGAAGTGATGGACTCAGCATGCATAACATGAACATGTACTAAGTCATTGTTGAATAACTTAGTGAATAATTTGGTATTTTACATTTGGGTGAATATTTATATTATGCAAATGGTGCTGTTACACCAATTGGCCACCTCCAACCGAGTCCTCATGGATTAAATCCTAGGTGTACCTAACCTTGTTACAATAAAGTGTGCTTTAGCTAAACTTTTTCTTCTTGCACATGCTTTTGCAATTCCTTCCGAAAAGTCCTCTTAGAAATTATTGTGTCCCTAGAAGAAATCGTTCTGGAACAAATTATCATAACAATCAAGGAACTGATAAATATGATGGCAGGCTATAATGAAACCAGGTAGGATTATACCAGAAGATAAATATAAAGGAAGAGAATCCTGTAAGTCAGGAAACTGTGTTTCATTAATATAAGATAGAAGTTTAAGCTTATCAGATCCAATATGAAGACTGTTGAAATTTATATTCAGGAAAAATGGTATGGATACCAGTTCAGAAGTAATGTTTGTGACAAATGCAAAATGGAAGCGAGTAAGCAAGGTTGTGATTGCATTACTGCTAATTTCACAATAGTCTGGTGCTATATGATAACCCTCCACTACTAAATGTTTACCTACATCCTGGCATATAAGTATCACACTGGTTTGATTTGGGAAATAAAAATATTGCACATTATTGACATGTGCGTGAAAAACTAATCTATGTGGTATTGGAGTGTATTCACATTGCTGTAGGGCTGTAGATGCATTAGTTTGTACTATAGCTAATTCACAGTAGCTTTTGCAGCCCGTGTGAATGCTAAAGCATATGTAGGACATACATGCAAGTGTAAGTATGTTGATTTACAATGATTTAGGACTTCATGCTTAGTCACAGCAACTAATAAAAAATATTCTGATACTACTATTAGTTCAATTTGTTTGTTCAGAATTAAAAGATCGTCATTCGCTTTCAATGGAAATGGTTCCAAGTGCCATGCATCAAAATTTTGGGGTGATTTTAATGGAATGTGTATTAGTAATTCCTTTTGTGTTAAGGAGGTTGCCTCTAATAAGGAGTAATAATATTCCACTTCATGCTCCTGAAAAATAGGAGTTAGATGATATTTAGTTTCAGCTATATGTAAAGCGGCAATAAGTTGACCAACTGGCAACACCTGTGCATCAACACGACCTAACGCTGCATTCACTAGATCAGCTATGAGCCTACTGCTAGTGTCTATGAAAGCTTGTACAGAGGCTTCAGCTGCAAGCATATATTCTGTAAAGCACAGCAGCCATTCCGGTGTAGATTCTAACCATGTGAATCCCTGAACAACGGGTGTTAGTTGATTAGTTTCGCCAACAGTAGCATGCATGTGAGAGGTCAGAGTTTGTACTGCCTTGTAGGATTGTTCAACGGCCCATTTTGTTTCTTAACCGCTTCTGAAACTGCATTCATTCTGTTCCCTAGATTAGCTACATCTTCGGCTGTTGCCGTACCAAACAGGGTGTTATTTATTTAACCAACAAAATTAAATAGACCATGTTTTTTATGCCGCTGAGAATGTACATTCTTCCCTATGTCTTCAGGAGAAATAGGGAGCTTTCCCTCGAAGTGATTCACTCGTTTGAGTAGACTATTCATACGGTCGTTCTGAAGTGAGATGGTCTGTTGGAGTGTTGTAGACAGGGCCGCCGCTTCCATTAGGCGAGATTAGCAAATGCTAAGGGCGCCAACAGATACAGTGTCACCACCACAGCTCCATTCTTCACAGCCAACAGATACAGTGTCACCACCACAGCCCCATTCTTCACAGCCAACAGATACAGTGTCACCACCACAGCTCCATTCTTCACAGCCAACAGATACAGTGTCACCACCACAGCTCCATTCTTCACAGCCAACAGATATAGTGTCACCACCACAGCTCCATTCTTCACAGCCAACAGATAGTGTCACCACCACAGCCCCATTCTTCACAGCCAACAGATACAGTGTCACCACCACAGTCCCATTCTTCACAGCCAACAGATACAGTGTCACCACCACAGCTCCATTCTTCACAGCCAACAGATATAGTGTCACCACCACAGCTCGAATGTGCTGCACCTGTTGACCCCACTGACTGGCCATCCTCAATTTCCAACCAGGAAAAAGCAGAACTTGTTCGCAGAGGACCTTACCAGGTTGATCCTAATTATGTGTTTCCAAAAAAGGATGGGAGATGTCAACGTGGTTACTTTCGCCGAATCTTAGTAAATGGGGAGAAGATCCAAAGAAGTTGGCTAATTTATTCGGTGAAACAGGATAAACTTTTTTGCTTCTATTGTAAAATATTTTCTACGAAACATGTTAGAATGGCTGAAGAAGGCATCAATGATTGGAAAAATGCCAGTCATTTACTCAGCACACATGAAAGTAGCATAGAACACACTAAAAACATGACAACATGGAAGGAACTGGAGGTCAACATTGCAAGAGGAAGGACGATAGACCAACGGGAAATGGAAAGTTTAATGGTTGAGTGGAACAGGTGGCGCCAAGTCCTCACTAGACTAGTGGAGATTATTCAGTCTCTAGCTGAAAGAAATTTGGCTCTAAGAGGGTCAACCGAAAAACTTAACTGTCCATCCAATGGTAATTTTTTCCAAGAAGTGGAACTTTTGGCTAAATTTGATCCAGTTATGAAGAATCATTTAATTAGGGTTGAAAGTAATGCAGGCAATCACAGTCACACTCACTACCTTGGCCAAATGATCCAAAATGAACTGATAAACGTTATCAGTGCAAAGATTACTGAGAGATTCGTGGACGATATTAAAGCATCGAAATACTTCTCTATTATTTTAGACTGCACCCCTGATTTGAGTCACAAAGAGCAACTTTCTGTCATAATCAGGATAGTGGCACTTGAAGACAAGCCAACAATAAAGGAGCATTTCTTGGGGTTCCTTTAGGTAGAGAAGTCTACAGGGCTAAATTTGTCATGCATTCTCTTCGGAAGACTGAAACAACTGAACATTTCTTTTGAGGATTGTCGAGGTCAATCTTACGACAATGGAGCAAATATGAGAGGAAACATCAAAGGAGTTCAAGCCAGGCTTCTTCAACAGAATTCTCGGACCTTGTTTGTCCCGTGTGGTGCCCATAATTTGAATTTAATATTAGCTGACGCTGCCAAGAGCTTCCTAGATGCAACTTGTTACTTCGGATATTTAACGGAAGTATTCACATTGTTTTCAGTCTCCCCTCAGAGGTGGCACGTTCTTTTAAAACATGTCAATATTACTCTGAAATCGTGGTCAGACGTCAGATGGGAAAGCCGAGTAAAACGTGTGGAGGCAATTAGATATCAACCTGCGCAAATCAGACAAGCGCTTTTGGAGCTCAGAGAATTTGCAACTGACCCTGTCATCAAAGTTGAGGTTCAATCGTTGGCAGAGGAAGTAGGATCATACCGTTTTGTCATTTGCTCAGTTGTGTTGTATGATATACTCAGCAAAATTCAGCACGTGAGCAAACTAATGCAGTCGACTACGATGCAGCTCGGCGTGGCTGTAGATCTACTTAAGAAGACCAGAGATAATATTGTCAGCTACAGAAATACAGGTTTTGCTGATGCACTAACTATTGCAAAAGAAATCTGTGAAGCGATGAACGTAGACACCGTGCTGAAACAGAAGAGACTAACAACTAAAAAATGCCACTTTAACTATGAGTATGCAGACGAACCTGTCAGCGATGCACTCAAGAGGATAGAGACTACATTTTTCAATGTGGTAGTGGACCCTGCGATTTCCTTTCTTGATGAGAGGTTCAAGACCTTGGGCGAGGTGAATGAAAAGTTCAAGGTATTGTTATGGTTCACGGACATGTCTGACAAAGACATCGACGATCACTGCCAAACTCTCAGCAACACGCTTACTCATGAGGGACACTCAGACATTGATGGAAGGCAACTGGCCATGGAGCTGCAGTGTCCCAGATTTGCCTTCCAAGAGAATGACAACAATGGATTTTCTCGCCTTCCTGCATGAAGAGAAACTTACTGAAGTATTCCCGAACTTGTGAGTAGCTCTGCGGATCTGTGCAACTTTCCCTGTAACGGTGTCGGCAGCAAAACGGAGCTTTTCTAAGTTAAAACTGATAAAAACTTATTTGCGATCCACAATGGCACAGGATCGTCTTAGTGGGCTGGCCATCATCAGTGTGAACCATGCAGTGTCTAGGGAGTTATCGTATGACGATGTTGTAGTGGACGTCTCCCCTACAAACTGCGTAGCTGCATCCCACCTGCGACGTCTTCCTTAGCAACCAAACGAGCGGCGACACCAGATGTTACGGTAACCTAGCAACGGAACTAGAGACCGCCGACTTTCTCGGGTTTTCCCAACATGACTCATAGAGGACTCGCGGCTGCTGGGTATATAAGCTCTGTCTCTCCATTGAGATTCATTCCGGTCTCTCTTCTTGAACAAGCAACACCTCCTCCTCCGCCGCTGCCTGGCGGCCCTTGCTTCTCCTCGCCTGCCTGGCGGTCCTCGCTCCCGCCAGCGAGCATGGCGACCCACCAGCGAGCATGGCGACCCACCAGCTGTCCTTCTCTGAGCTTCCTCACCAACCAGCTCTCATTCTGCCCATCTTCCTGAACAAGCAACACCTCCTCCAGCAAGCTCCACGCTGTCAGCATTCATTCAACCAGGAGGCCAGCAACAGGCAACATCTTCTCTAACGAAGCTCCTGCACATCTACCTCCTTCAACACGCTACTCACCGAACGTCTCTACTGAGCAGCTCCTCACCACACGGCACCTCCAGCACCAGACTGTCTATCATATAACTTATATTATACAAGAAAACCACATTAGAGTTTCCATCCATCCTGAGTGCTAGACAACATTATACCACGAACTCCTACAATGTAATCGACGAATTCGCTTCCAGGAAGTCAAGTTATAACTGTTATAAGCAGGCACGTAGCGAAGAGGAGAAAACGGCGCAATCCAGAATGTCATGACATATGTTAATTGAATTGCTTATTGTTTAAATACAATGGTAGTTTGATTTTGAGTGTTTTTTAGTCACTTTTCATGCCATTATTTTATATTGCTTGTATTGTGCTTTTCTTTGGATATTCCACAGTTTAAGAGGATTTGCTAATTAATGTATGTATTAGCAAATTAAAATAGATCAGTGTAAGGAAAACAGTTTCTTCAATATGGTACCTTGATTACTTTGTGGGCAAACCCAATCGTGAAGTGGGAGGCGGGTGGGGGCGCCAGCTGCAGTCCTGCTAAGGGCGCCAAATATGCTGGCGCCGACCCTAGTTGTAGAGATTGTAGATTGTTGTTGGAGATCTTGCAGAATTTGCACAGCCATTACAATGTGGATAGCTATTGACTTCAGGTGCACTGGCATGCGTACTTAATCATGGAGCTAGTACTCGATAGTGACAACGTCTTGTACTACAAGTACTTTGCCAGTGGGGCAACTAAAGCTCAGGGTTTGACGACGTCTGCTGGGGATGCAGGTGTTGCTACCGCGCTCAAGACCAACAGGACAATTAACGATTTTTGTTTGCTGATCGTAGTTTTTGACGATATGTATTGTCTATCGTTATATTTTGTTGAGCAACTGTTGTAGTAGAAGTAGGACGTACTTGCCTGACATTAGGAGTCCTTACTAAGTCTCTGCTGACTTTTTTCATTCTATCTAGATGTATTATATATGTGACATTTGTCGTTGGCTCAACTACTTGGAATTTGTTTCCATGTTCTTTCTCTCTAATCACGTACGGATCTGTGAATTTAGGCGAGAGTTTTGACATGCGTTCCAACGCTTTTATTATTACTTTGTCTCCTAGTTCTGGAGTTATAGGGTCAGCTTTTTTATGTTGCTTGCAGATCATTTCAGCACGTGAGGCTGCAAAATGTTCTCGTACTTGTCAATGAATGCTGTTGTGGGGTCCAGGATATTTGGTTCACACTCAGGATGGGTTGGAGAAAGGAAACTCACAATGTGCTCTCTATATACATGTTGTATTGGATGTACAATGCAGCTTGGTGCTGGGAAGGCAGCATGGTTACAAGCGTGATGTAGAGAGAGCTGGTTGGTGAGGATGCTCAGAGGAGGACCAGCTTGTGGGTCGCCATGCTCGCCGGCGGGAGCGAGGACCACCAGGCAGCGGAGGAGGAGCGAGGACCACCAGGCAGGCGGAGGAGGTGTTGCTGGCTGGTTGGTGTAGGTAGAAAAGAGACAGGTCACCACGAGGTCAGGTCTTAAATAGCGGGGGGTAGGCGTGGCTTAGTAGTTGACCCCAGCTCCGTGATGTATGGCGGCGCTGGTTGACCTAGACCACGAGGCATACGCTGGGGAATTGGTGGGGTCGGCTACTCAGCGACAAACAGCGTTTGTAGGGGAGAAATCCACTACACTGTAGTCAAGGTAGGTACCTTGGCTGTAGTGGACTCTCCCATATAACTGCTGATTGGTCACTTGCCGTCTGCTTACCAGCCAACCAGCGGCGAGTTCCACAGACCGGGCCTCGCTTCGGATTGCGCTGTGATTGGCCAGTTACCGCCTTCACCTCAGCCAACCAACAGCGCCGCTCACAAATTAAATCGAGAGAATAAATCAACATAATCATGAGTTAATCACTAATATATGCACAGTAAATAAACAATAAACTACTTTGTAATATCACCATTGATTGCACTTTACCCCCATAAATAATACTAGAGCAGCACTTAATAGTTAATACTCAACTAAACCCGATTTGAAAAGGTATCCACCACTGACAAATTCAAACGTCCTTCCACCTCCATGGCCAGCCAATGACTGACATGGCTCCACGGTAAGTATAGTGCCCAGTGTGCCACTCCAGAATTTAAAAAAAATCCAAAATTGCACCTCAGAAAACTTCATGATTGACCTAAAATAACCAAGATGTTCATTTTCACAGTACACGAACATTTACCTTGTGTTAAGGTCTCGAAAATATGTACTTTTAATTGTCTTACCTGGGATTTACATATATTTAATGCATGTAGAATTGTAGTGGAAGTTCTTCCGAATCACTGCTGGCATCTTCTGGGTGCATAGTTGCCACCTCTGACTTGGAGCACTTCTCTGTATAGCGCTGGTGACACTTTCCACTTTTCATGTCGCTAAGCAGAGATTTAGATGGGTTCCAATTGGAGCAAGACCCTCCCTGCCGAGCGACTGCTTGCTTTGCAAGCATACGGTTTGCAACAGTTTCGGTTAATAGCCTGTTGGAATGCTTGGTTTTGACAAAGTTTATCTTAGAAAACATCCGCTCAATTACGGCAGATGAATGTGGCAAGGCCAATAATTCTCGCATGAATGTTGCAAGGGTAGAAAATTTTGCTTCATTGTTTCCATCTTTTATTTCAAGTAATTCTTGCCAAAAAGAGGTTGGTGACAAGTTCAAATTTTGAAGACTAGCCTTGGCATGCAACAGATCTTGCCACTGGTCTTGTAAATCATCAAGGTCTGTCTCTTTCACGAGTGTGGGGAAATGAACAGCCAATTGTGCAATTGATTTAACATTTCGTTGCGGAGACAGAGCAACTTTTGGATCAATAATAGTAAGCTGTGCTAGGACACTATCTTCTTCTAGGGGAAATCTCTTCCTTATTTGCACACACAGTTCTGCTAAAAATTTATGACAGTCAACAAGGAACCTTTCTTTACTTTCCCCAAGTGGTTCTTTCAGTAGCAAAGCTTCACATCTTCCAGCCAGATACTGGCCGCGAACTGAACCTGTCCAGAGTCCGTACAGTCGTACTCCGTATGTGTCCACTCCCGGCCCTCCCTTGCTGAACTTCAATGATGAAAAACTAGTTCATGACTTATATTTTATCATCAATCACAATCACCGTGTATATTTTTGTCTCGTTTCCAATTGATTAAGTATAATTACGTTTTATGATATACTACATTATTGCAGTGCACGCATCAAAATATTTTGTTTCGATACACTTAACAAAAACTCCAAGATTTATTGGATTCTAAGGAAAAACTCCAAGACTCCAAGGTCGAAGCAAAAAACCCAAGCTCTAGTAGAAAATCCCAAGGAGTGGCAACACTAGTGCCACACTCCAGGGAACTACAAACCTAAAACTAATATTAATCAACTCCCACATTAAGCTGCAATATATATATATATATATATATATATATATATATATATATATATATATATATATATATATATATATATATATATATATATATATCTTGATAAAATCACACGGGAAAATGGAAACAACCCTTAGCTTTCGTCTTTATTCAAGACATATTCAGAGGCAACTGAAGTTGCCTTTGAAGATGTCTTGAATAAAGACAACGTTTCCATTGTGGATTTACATGAAATATATATATATATATATATATATATATATATATATATATATATATATATATATATATATATATATATATATATATATATATATATATATATATATATATATATATATATATATATATATATATATATATATATATATATATATATATAAATATTTTTTTATGGGATTAGCCCACCCGGGCACAGGTCACTGACCCACATTGGGACCCGGGGGGCGAAAATGTAATAATAATAATAATTCATAGTCAATAAAATTTATAATAAAAAGTAAAATAAAATATTAATGGTAATAATATTAACAACACTGTAATAATAATAATAATAATAATAATATTAATAATAATAATAATAATAATAATAATAACTGCGATAATAATAATAATAATAATAATATTATAAATACAAAGAAATACAAGAATGAAAAAATCAATAGTGAGAAACGCTATGTGTATGTTGTGTTGTCATGTACGAGAAACAATTGAGACCCTACAATTGTGTGTAAATGAGGCAGAAAGACAGATGAGCAACCTGGGACTTGGTCACACATCATTATACGAAATTATATTTACATTGGGTAACATGTTTAAAAAAATATTTCACTATGCACAGCGCAACGCACCACTGTACATTACGCATGAAATACAGGGGTATTGAGTATCAACGACCATCTGGGCACACACTGCAAACCTCACTCGCTCCACGTAAGCAGGAAAACTGGCCAGTTAAGCGTGTGTGCGTGTGTGTGTAGCGGTGCCCCCGGTGTGTATGACGTCCACAGAATTGGGTTCACCTGTATTCGCTTTACCATTAGTCAGTGCTCGCCCGAAAGAAGTTGTTCTTGTGATATTGTTAGGTGTACTCACTAATTGCTCTGTCCTGGAGGAAATTGTCAGTCCTGTGTGTCTAGAGCTTCACCCGTTACGGTTGTGTACTGGTGATATTACATGTAAAGTATGCAGAGATCTGTAATTGTACACAACATTTGAAGAACTATCGAGAGGTGACGCATGATGTTAACAGGATGTACTGATTTTTTTCGTAAATCACGTGAAATACAGTAAAGTTTAAGTTTTAAGCTATTCAGTGATTTTAAACATCAACTGTGCTTTGTCGTAGTCTGATTGAAATTACCAAAATATAAAATAAATATTTATCTTACATCACAGGAAATATGGTTTTAGTATTTACTCATTCAGTGACTTCGGTATTACCCAAATTTATTTACTGCATATGATTACTTTGGTCCACGAAACTTAGTACAAAACGTTCATTAATGAATTAAATGAAGCATAACCAAGCAGGTGACCATAGCAGATGACAAAAGTGATTCTTTATTCAACAACTACAATGAAGTAAGTAATTAGAGTGAGTTTTTTACGTTCGGTTGATTTGATTTGAATTCATTTTGTAAAGATTTATGTAATACAATACACTATATACTTACGTAATTAACTGTATATACACCATTACCGAAGTATAAGCTTTGTCCGCGGGCGGGTCGGGTCGTGTTGCGTCTCTGTAACAAAGCGTGTTCGGCATTCGGGCCTTCGATGTTGAGCGGCAGGAATTGGACAGTGATTACATAAGATCATCAAGATCGTCTAAGTGATGTGAAAGTGTAAATCGATGTAGGATTTTTAATGGTAGACGCGATTGTATTTTTGAAAACTCAAATTCCACCGAGTTGGAGGTACAGCCCACAGGTCGGGAGGCCAGCAGCCTACAACCACAACTCGCTGCCATATGACAAAGCTTTTTTTTTTTTTTTTAAGGAGTTGTGTTCACGGCTGTAATAAATGCCAACCAGGGCGTGTAGTACTGTGATTTTAGGTAAATCAGTTCACAGTGTTATCAGTGACCGCAGAAAAGGCTGTAAATAACTTAAAGTGAATACATATTGGCAATCAAGCTGGTAAGGACCACTGCCAGCCTATTCGTGTCATAGGTGCCACAGAGACTTTAAATTTTATTTTGTTTGTGTGCTTTCTCAAGGACTGAAACTGTGTTTATAATACACCACTCATAGGGAGATACAGTGTACACAGTGATAGTTCATAGTGTCATCAGTGACCGCGGAAGTTGTAAATAACTTAAAGGGAGCACTAACTAGCAAGCAAGCTGGAAAGGCACCGTGCTAGCTGAAACCAAGTCGTGTCATAGGTGTCACAGAGACTTTAAATTTTATTTTGTTTGTGTGCTTTCTAAAGGACTGTGAATACACCATACAGTGTACGCAGTCGCAGAAGACAACTCTATAGGCAACAGAGAGTAGCTAAGTACTGTGTAGGGTTATGGGATATTGGTTCACACTCAGGATGGGATGGAGAAAGGAAACTCACAATGTGCTCACTGTATACATATTGTATTGGATGTACAATGCAGCTTGTTGCCGGGTAGGTAGCATGGTAATACTTTTCCTTTTTTTATCCTCTTCGCCACTGATCGGCTTGTTAGCCGCTTGGGCGATCGGTCACGTCTCTGTCACGCACTGTTGGCAAATACTGGGCATGCACCGGCTCCTGAATGTACCTGAACCCGCTCCAGTGTTGGTCAAGTCTTCTCTTGAAAGAGCTCACACTCGGTGCCGTCACAACACTCTCTGGTAGATTGTTCCAAGAGTTTACAACCCTCACTCCGAAAAAGTTTGCCCTCACGGTTTTCTGGACTTGCGGCTTCTTCAATCTTGAGCTGTGACCCCTTGTGGGGCGAGCTTCCGCCAGGTCCAAGTAAGGACACTCAACTGGGTAGTGCCCCCTGAGATACTTATACACCTCAACTAGGTCCCCCCTTGCCCGTCTGTAGTATAAGCTAGGCAAGTTCAGGCGCTCCAATCTCTCAGGGTAGCTGAAGTGCCGAAGTGCAGGCACCAGTTTGGTGGCCCTCCTTTGAACATTTTCAACCAACTGACAGTCCCTAGCATATCTCGGGGACCAGATGGGGTGACAGTACTCCAGATGGGGAAGCACTTCACTCCTGAAGATCGTTACGAGGGACGGACCGTCTAGATATCTGAACGACCTTCTTATAAGACCCAATAATTTATTTGCCTGATTTACCTTCTTCTCACAATGGCCCGTCTTCTCACAATAAGCGTTGAGTAGAGAGAGCTGGGTGGTGAGGGTGCCCAGAGTGAGGGCACGCGGCTTGAGGGACGCCAAGGTCGTTGGCGGGAGCGGCAGCCGCACAGCTGGCGCGGAGGAGGTGTTGCTTGCTGGTGGCACTGGGTAGAAAGAGAGGCTGATCACAGCGGTGTCAGGCCTTATAAGGCGGGGGTAGGCGTGGGTAGATAGTTGACCCCCGCTCCATGGGCGGCGCTGGAGGCGTAGGCTGGGGAATTCGAGAAGGTTCGGTGCTTGTAGGGGAGGAATCCACTACAACTGTTCTTTTTTCTTTTCCTTTTTTCTCTCTTTACTTTTTTTAAAATAGGTGTAGATCTATACACAGTCTGCACCCCCCTCCCCCCCCACCCCCACAACAACCATGAGTTTGATATGTGATGACTGCAGGGAGACGTCGGATATGAAGGATACAGGCCTGTTAATGCAACGTTTAGGAAGTTACTAACTGCCGTAAAGCATGATGGCTGTTGCTGGTATTGCCCTGACTGCATAGTCAAGGTGAATGAGGCGATTGCAAGCCATAAGGGAACGAGTTCTCTAGGGACGAAAATAGATGACGCTGGAGCCCTGCTGGTTGACAAACTGGAGCAAGTTGTGAAAGAGATCCTGGCTAAGACTGAGGAAGTAGCCGATAGAATGGAGGTGGTTGTTAAGAGGAGTTATGCTGACATATTAGCAGGGCTACGGGAGGGGGCGGGGAGTAATGCAGGATCAGAACAGGTTCTACAGCAGCTTGGGACTTTGAAGAAGTGTGTCGAAGAAATGAAAATTAACGGACCTACTGTTAGGGGAGAGGAGGAACACCAGGAACGTCTTCAGCGCAGGAACAATGGAATCGTTTTTGGAGTCCCAGAGAGCCAGGATGTGAGGAGGCTGGGACAAAAGCAGGGGGATAAGCCTCGCCCCCTCAGGATCACACTAGCGAGCGGGGAAGAGAAATGGCAGATTATTCGGCAGGCAAAAAACTTAGCAAGGAACGAGGCATTTCGGGATGTATTCATTCACCCAGATCGCACGGGAACAGCACAAGAAGCTCCTGCAGGACTTGAAGCAGAAGAGGGAGGAGTCAAGGAAGAACGGGGACGGGTGTACATGGGTTATACTCAGGGGGAGGGTAGTGGAAGCAAGTGTGCCGACACAGGGCCAGGGAGCAGCAGTGCACCCTCCACCCACTCAACCCCCCTCCCGGGAGGCGGAACAGCTCCGCCTACCGGAGAGGAGGAGGTGAGCGCCGTGTAAACAATGACATTTCTAACCACACCCTGCAAAATACAGTGTACTTAGCAAATGCTGCAGCTTCTGAGAATGGGGTGGGGGATGGGGTGGGGTGGGGTTACTACTAAGAGCAGAGACGTTACCGAGAACAAATTCTGGCTTGAATGAAATGCACACTAATACTGACACGTTTCTCGATAAGAGAGAGGAGTTTGAAACACTACTAAGAGTACGCCAACCAGATATTGTAGGAGTTGTAGAACTGTTATACAAGAATAGGAGAATCGACCCAGAGGAATGTGAGTTCAGTATTGCTGGATATGACTCATTTACGAACCTTTCTCAAGAAACTTGCAAGAGGGGTGTGGTTATCTATGCTAGGCAAGACCTTACAGGCAACCAGGCGAGGGTACAAGGAGAGGATGTTTTTGAAGAGTCCAAGTGGTGTGAAATTAAATTAAAAAGAGGGGACTTACTTATCATCGGGTGTATCTACAGATCCCCAAACTGCGTCCCACTAAATTAAAGGAACTTAAGTACCTTAATAAACAACGCGGCGATGCTCAACCCTAGCCACCTCCTTATCATGGGGGACTTTAACTATGGCGACATCGACTGGAGAAACGAGTCCACCCCAAATGACTTGAATAACCCTGCTACTCATTTTGTAGAAACTCTGAGAGTTAATTTTCTATTCTAACATGTTAGAGACCCGACACATTACAGAGGGGAGCAAACACCCAAGCCACTAGACCTCATCATAACAAACGAGGAGGGTATGGTGGCCAAACTGGAACACCTTGCCCCATATAGTGTTGTCATTCAGATTTAACTGGTACCTAGTTCAGGATAAGGCCAGGCCAAGGTGCAAATATTACAAGGGAAATTACAATGGGATGAGGGAAGAAATGAGTGGTATCAACAGGCCTGACTCATTAAGGTACAAGAACGCAGACACTTCGCTGAATATCATAACTAGTAAAGTGACCCAGTTGATTGATAAATATACACCCATGACCAAACCCAGTGTTTCTAGGAATACGAGGGGATCCCTACACATGAAGCATGCGGCGGTCGACAGAATTAAGAAGAAAACCCAGAAATTCAAGACGTGGGTTAGGTCAAACGATGAGCAAGACAGGAGGATGTATGCAAGAGGCATAAACCAAGCAAAGATAGAGTGTAGAAGGGCTGAAAAAGAGTTCCAGAAGCTGTTTGCAAACGAGGTCAAGTCAAACCCAAAGGCGTTTTACCGCTATGCAAAGTCGAAATTGACAACACGAGTAGGAGTATCAGACTTGAGGCCTGAGGATGGTAGTTACATAGAATCTGACCAGGATAAAGTTGAGGCATTGAAGAGCTTCTTTTCCTCGGTGTTCACAAGAGAGGATGCATCTAACCTTCCTGTGTTTGAGGACAGACGGTTCGACACAGCACTGACCCACATTGTGTTCACAGAAGAGGGTATTAGAAATTTACTGTCCAGGCTAAAGGTTCATAAGAGTCCCGGCCCTGACATGGTGCATCCTAGAGTGCTAAGAGAGTTGTGCAACGAGCTTGCAGAGCCCCTGAAGATCCTGTTTTGTAAATGCCTGGACGAACAAATGGTCCCCAGTGAATGGAAAGTGGCTTATCTAAGTCTTATCTTAAAGAAGGGTGATCGTCACTCCACGAACAACTATAGACCGGTGAGCCTGACCAGCATAATATGTAAAGTGCTTGAGAGTATTTTCAGAGATGCCGCAATGGAACATCTAATACGAAACAACCTTGTAAAGGATTGCCAACACGTTTTTTTAACGGGGCGCTGCTGCTTAACACAATTGCTCAAGGTATTGGATATTTGGACCCATATTCTGGAACGGGGTGGTAATATCGACAATATATACCTAGATTTTGCCAAGGCTTTCGACATGTACCCCATGAAAGGCTGAAAATCAAACTGGAAGGGTACGGAATTCGGGGAAATGTCCTAGCGTGGGTAGAAGATTTTCTACATGACCGCAAGCAGTGTGTGG